GGTCTCTTTTGAGTGATTGAGAGGGCTGACTTACGGATTTTTTTAAAAATGTCCCTCCGCAACTTTCACATCCTCTCCCCCATCCTGCCTCACCAAAAACTGCTTGTGTCTTTGATTTTGTCACGTCTGTCTTCTGAGAGCGACGGAGAAGCCATGCTCAGGGCAAGGAAGAAACCTTCCCCCCTCCGCAGTGTTCTATGGACCATGCTGCTAAGGGGCACTGTGTGCACGATAGGATCCCAGTCCCAAGGTGAGGATTCTTTCTACCAAACTTTGAACTCTGAATCTGCACCAGTAGTCCCATCACAGAAAGTGACTTCTGAATATATTCGGCTTCCTTTGACAGTACCTCTGGCATCAAGTCTGTCTCACTGGTGAGAAAAGAATCGAAGGCAGGGTGGGGTGGCTTGTGAGCCTCTACACTGTTCTCAGGATAAGCCCCCCAAAAATGACATGAGAGATTTGTCCTTGGTTGATCCAAGGATTCTAAAAGGCCTAGTGAGGGAGAATATGTTTGCTAGGTCTTGCTACATTTATTTTGACTGAAGATGTCCCCGTGGAGATGCTGGTTCCTCAGAAGAGACTGTGCATCTTTCTGTGTTGTATAGAAACATATATTTAATGGCCATATCTGAATGTGTGCACCCTCCCTAAATCTTCTTCCCTTAATAGCCTCATTTATTGAATTTTTCAACCAGTTTAAACAATAGATCTCTCTCTGTCAATTATACAGATTCAAATAAATGTACAAAGCCATAAGAAGTACGGAAGGGCATCAGGGTTGAAGAAGCTGAAGGTGTTTCAGCCATTATAAGCTGGTTAACTTGAAAAGTTACTCGTAGCTGCCACAATCTTTCTGGGTTTTTAGGTGTAAAGTTGCAATTTTAGATGTAAATGACATTAGTACAGCTGGGGGTGGGGTGTAACGTATCTTCCCTCCCATCTGATCTGATCTGATCCCATATTTGCTACTGCATTATAATTTGAAATTAAAGTTTCCTGGTAAGGATTGGTACTGTGCCTCATAAATATGGGGCTTACATTTTGCTACTGAAATCGACGTTTTTTGTTGAAAACAAGCACAGTATGAAAGGTTAGAAGCCATTAATATGTAATTCTATTGTCTTGAATGCAGGTATCTCATTCCCGGGGGAGGGGGAGGGGGAGGGAGGGAGCTGGAAAAGGTACCTAAGAAATTGACAAGGTACTGTATTTATACTTCTTGACCTAAGTGAGGTCACCAGTTTATCCATACTTCTTCATATTATCTTTATGTGTTTAAAAAAAAAGTTTAGAAAACTTCGTTTGCTATGTGGATTTTGACCAGAAAATTAAAGCAATGTTGTTTATTTTGCCTGACATAAATTAAATATAAAACTCCAGTGGCTGAACTTCCATTTCTTCATTATGAATAACACTTTTTTCTTATCTAAAGACCTGGTGTGGTGCTATAATGCAATGTCATGCTTTACTATCTGCACATAGAACGGGGGTGTCAAACCCACATCGTCATGTTGTCATCACGTGATGTATCGTAACTTTTTCCCACTTCGCTAAAACGGGTGGGTGTGGCCGCAAGTTTGACACCCCTGCCATAGTTGGTGTAATCATTCTGTTAGGCTGCTGCACAAAGGATTTGAAAGCTACTACATGCAATAGAAAAATAGCTATGATTACAGTCATGGAGTAGCCACTCCACACAGATTTTCTTCGGGCTTCACCTTATTACAACTTCCACTCTATTGATGGAGCCAAGCTACTTCTGTTTCAAACATATCATATGTAGACTGCTCTTGATATTTTGGTATGTTCACTAGATTCACAGAGAATTACAGTATATGCAAGTTTTCAGTTGTTCATTTAGGCAGCATTAATAGTCTCAAGATGTCTCAAACTCAAATTGTCTCAAATTTTCTGGAGCCCATGCATTGTATTCCAGCCCAAATGCGAGGATGTGTGTGCGTTATTTCTGACAATGCAAAAAAATCTCAAAGCAGATACCAAAACTGCACAAAAATACAAATGATGATAATTAAGGGTCAATTACATTTTCACATAAACAAAAATGTAAAGGCAAGGGAAAAACAATTAAAACAAAGTTGGTTACGTTGAATGTTTTTTAAAATGTTGTATATTCACTTGCTGTTGGAAACCCCTTGGCAAATTATTGATTCTTACAATTACTCTGCATGATGGGTAGTTTGTGGGCATTTTTCCAATGCTTGAAGGTGTTTTAAAAAGTGAAATCAATGACTTAATCACCCCTTCAAAAGAAAACAAAACCAAAAAAAGTGAGCCAGGGTGGAAAGTATTAAAGGAATAACATTTATAGTTCCTTTATACCTCATAAAACAAGCAAAACACTTGGCTGTGTTGATTTTAATGACAACATGCCGTCGCTGTTTACCTTTATCCACTGCCCCGAATTTTTAAAATGGCTCCAAAATCATTGCCTGCCCCTGCATTATGGCTTAGTCTTACATATGAACCAGGCCAGTGATGGGATTCAAATTTTTTTACTGCTGGTTCTGTGGCCGTGGCTTGATGGGCATGGTGTGGCTTGGTGGGCATGGCTTGGTGGGCGTGGCAGGGGAAGCATACTGCAAAATCCCCATTCCCTCCCCACTCCACTAACCTGCTTTCCAGCTCCATTTTCCTGTGCAGAGCAACAAAAGAAGACCCAGCCAATCAGCTGGGACTCAGGAGGCAGAGAATAGATGGGGGTGGGGCCAGTCAGAGGTGATATTTGCTAGTTTTCCGAACTACTCAAAATTTCTGCTACCGGTTCTCCAGAACTGGTCAGAACCTGCTGAATACCACCTCTGAACCAGGCCCCAAAAGTGACAAAATTGGCTGTATGGATCCCCCTGAGCTTTCATCTCACCAAGTAAGATGGATTGTGCCACCAAGTATACAATTCAAGTGAAAATGTTGATACAGAGGCAAGATTACTCATCCGATTTGAGGAGTGGGACAGGGTTCTCAATCAACAATACCAATTCTACTTTCTGAAGTTTTGTAAAAAAAGGAGCATTTTCAAAATCAGATTGCAAAGATGTTATCCTATCCCCAATACTGCAGTGTGACGAGCCAGTAAAATGATTTGCAAACTTTCTATGATCAGTGGTTGGCTCAAGACCATCATAGGTGGCACACATTCTGCTTGTCTTTGTCCTCTGTGAATCCATCCCTATCCTAACCCTAACCCTGTGAATCCATCCACTTAGCCTGACAAAGAGGAGCTAAGGCTGCTGATAGCAAGACTCCTAGTAAGCCATCAAGGATGACAGTTTGTCAGAAGAAGGAGCCACAGCAAAGGGAAAATCAATTGCTCCATCCACCTACCCTGTGATAGTTGCAAACATTTTTTGCCTGCAGTTCAAAGTAGAATTTCTAAGAAGTCTCTGTGCTATTCAAGAGTTACTCCATTTTCTATAACTACCAACTGTGTGCATTACTCATGCTCGCAGGTTTTTTTGAAGGATAATATGATGTTCTGAAAACCAAGTTTTCCAACTTTGTTCTTGTCCCCTCAAATTTACAGAGAAAGCCTATAGACAAATTAAACAGGGACATCTTTGTCTCTTAAAATCCTAGGCTAGGGCTGTCAAACCTGCAGCCCACAGGCCAAATGCATCATGCGCTGGTTTAGCGAAGGGAGAAAAAAATCGCAATAGGTCACATAACACCGCTGTGATGACATGAGTTTGACACCCCTGTCCTAGGCGCGGTTGGTGTGATTTAAACAAGTGACTATACGAACCTGAAACCTCTGTGTTTCACCAACAAAACGACTGGCCACATCCAACAGGACTCCTATCTGAAAATCTGCAGCAATGAATGGATCAGTTAATTTTCATGCATGAAGGCAGCAAATAACCAGGGAATGCATTCGACATACTAAAGATCAAGCCTGGGATTTTTTTAAAAAAAATTTGCATTCATACCGTCTCCAATGTGGTGCCCTCCAAATGCACCAACTTACAACTCCCATCATCCCCAACCAGCACAGCCTTTGAGTTGCAATCTAACATATCTAACAAAAATCACATTGGAAGAAGTTGCTGTGCCCTAATCGAGGAACAGAAGCCAAGATGCAGTATGTTGGAAACATTTTTTTACTTTCATTAACAGTAGTTCTCAGAGGGTATGGATGACTAGCTACTATCTTAATAACATTTCTACTTTAAGTCCCTTAATAGAAAATTTATTATCCACCTGACTGCTTGCCAGAGCAGGAAGATGAGGTATAAACCAAATGATTGCATAATAAATATTTTCCATGCATTTCCAGAAATTCTCTTGATTTATAAATCCTCAACACAGAAACTCCCCAGCACATTTTTCTAATACAAAGAATTAAATGCTGCTTCAACAGCAAGTAACAAAGAGACTTCGTTAAATCAAAGCACTTTTCCAATTTGGAAATTATTCCAGTTCTCATCGTGATATTTTCCCACTGCAACCAGCTTTTTTAACTTTACCCTTGGCTTTTCTGGAATAACAGCAGGCAAGCTTAATGAGCCACAGCATCAAGAAGTTCTGGCCACTGCACTATATGTGGCTCACAAGCCTCCTTTGGGCCCCACCCAGCTGCCCCTGGTCATACTGGTGGCATGATTTTCTCTTGAATTTTGGCAAAACAAAAATATGTAAAAGAGGTACACAAAAACTCAAGTTTTAGTTTGCATTTTTTGTCTTTGTTTAAGTTTGCATTATTGTTCTTTAAGTTTGCATTATTGTTCATTGTTTAAGTTTGCATTATTGTTCA